AGCCATTTAGCAGGCGCTTTCATCCAATGCGACTTACAGTCATGCGTGCATACATTTTATTTATGGGTGGTCCCAGTACTCTACCGACTGAGCCACACAGGACCACTACACAATCCATGTCTCAATCGTCTCAAGGCTTAAAAATCCTTCTTTAACCTTTCTCCTCCCCTTCATCTACACTGATTGAAGTGGATTTAACAAGTGACATCAACAAGGGATCATAGCTTTCACCTGGATTCACCTGGTCAGTCTATGTCATGGAAAGAGCAGATATTCTTAATGTTTTGGACACTCAGTGTATAACAAACACAAAAATTATCGAAAAAATATAAAAACATTAGGTTCTGTCTTTGAACACTGTGGCATATCATCAGGCTAGAAATGTAGCATATCATCAGGCTAGAAATGTAGCATATCATCAGGCTAGAAATGTAGCATATCATCAGGCTAGAAATGTAGCATATCATTAGGCTAGAAATGTAGTATATCATTAGGCTAAAAATGTGGAACAAACTGCAAATGTCTATTTTGGAGAAAGAAATTCAGGTAAGGATCCAATAAAATGTTATCTAACAAAATTATTTTATAACCCATGAAGGACAAATCTGGGTGTGAAAATGTCAAAGATTAAAATAACCTAAAAACACTGCATATTAAAGGAACCACTGCTGGTGGAGTGAATAGAGTGAGAGGTAAGATGAGAGTGTGATCATTTCCCACAGGGAATTATGCTGTCATCGACTCCCATCGCCATCAGTGGAAGCTGTCAAAACTAAGGAAACAAGATGATGTGGGAGGACATGGAAGCGGCTGAGTGGCAGATGTCTTCAGAAAAGCATCTCAACAAATAAGAACAGGGTAACTCTATAATTTTGGACAGTAATGATATATTCACTAAATCAAATTTGTTGTAGCCTATTCATAATATTCTGTGAGGTAGGAGAGCCAAAGTCATGGTTGTAAATTATGGTTTTCCTAATTACATAAATATCCATCTGTGACATCGTATCACAGGTTCTAGGACCATGAACACAGTCAGAGGCAGATATAAATATATATATATATATATATATATATATATATATATAGTTGAAGTCGGAAGTTCACATACACTTAGGTTGGAGTCCTTAAAACTTGTTTTTCAACCTCTCCACAAATTTCTTGTTAACAAACTATAGTTTTGGCAAGTCGGTTAGGACATCTACTTTGTGCATGACATAAGTCATTTTTCCAACAATTGTTTACAGACAGATTATTTCACTTATAATTAACTGTATCACAATTCCAGTGGGTCAGAAGTTTACATACACTAAGTTGACTGTACCTTTAAACAGCTTGGAAAATTCCAGAAAATGATGTCATGGCTTTAGAAGCTTCTGATAGGCTAATTTACATAATTTGAGTCAATTGCAGGTGTACCTGTGGATGTATTTCAAGGCCTACCTTCAAACTCAGTGCCTCTTTGCTTGACATCATGGGAAAATCAAAAGAAATCAGCCAAGACCTCAGAAAACAAATTGTAGACCTCCACAAGTCTGGTTCATTTTCCAAACGCCTGAAAGGAACCATGTTCATCTGTACAAACAATAGTACGCAAGTATAAACACCATGGGACCAAGCAGCCGTCATACCGCTCAGGAAGGAGACGCGTTCTGTCTCCTAGAGATGAACGTACTTTGGTGTGAAAAGTGCAAATCAATCCCAGAACAACAGCAAAGGACCTTGTGAAGATGCTGGAGGAAACAGGTACAAAAGTATCTATATCCACAGTAATAATAATAATAATAATAATAATATGCCATTTAGCAGACGCTTTTATCCAATGCGACTTACAGACATGTGTGCATACATTTTTACGTATGGGTGGTCCCAGGGATCGAACCCACTACCCTGGCGTTACAAGCACCATGCTCTACCAATTGAGCTACAGAGGACCACATCAAGGCCTATATCGACATAACCTGAAAGGCCGCTAAACAAGGAAGAAGCCACTGCTCCAAAACCACCATAAAAAAGCCAGACTACGGTTTGCAACTGCACATGGGGACAAAGATCGTACTTTTTGGAGAAATGTCCTCTGGTCTGATGAAACAAAAATAGAACTGTTTGGCCATAATGACCATCGTTATGTTTGCAGGAAAAAGGGGGTTGCTTGCATGCCGAAGAACACCATCCCAACCGTGAAGCACGGGGTGGCAGCATCATGCTGTGGGGGTGCTTTGCTGCAGGAGGGACTGGTGCACTTCACAAAATAGATGGCATCATAAGGAAGGAAAATTATGTGGATATATTGAAGCATTATCTCAAGACATCAGTCAGGAAGTTAAAGCTTGGTCGCAAATAGGCCTTCCAAATGGACAAGCATACTTCCAAAGTTGTGGCAAAATGGCTTAAGGACAACAAAGTCAAGGTATTGGAGTGGCCATCACAAAGGCCTGACCTCAATCCTATAGATAATTTGTGGGCAGAACTGAAAAAGCATGTGCGAGCAAGGAGGCCTACAAACCTGACTCAGTTACACCAGCTCTGTCAAGAGGAATGGGCCAAAATTCACCCAACTTATTGTGGGAAGCTTGTGGAAGGCTAACCAAAACATTTGACCCAAGTTAAACAATTTAAAGGCAATGCTACCAAATACTAATTGAGTGTATGTAAACTTCTGACCCACTGGGAATGTGATGAAAGAAATAAAAGCTGAAATAAATAATTCTCTCTACTATTATTATGACATTTCACATTCTTAAAATAAAGTGGTGATCCTAACTGACCTAAGACAGGGAATTTTTACTAGGATTAAATGTCAGGAATTATGAAAAACTGAGTTGAAATGTATTTGGCTAAGGTGTATGTAAACTTCTGACTTCAACTGTATATATATATATAAAATACAAAGATTATTAAGGAATTAAGGGTTTAATTGTTTTACACAAGCTACAGTAAAATACATCAACACAAATTACTTGGATGGCTCATAGTGCTTCCGTGCTTTCACAGACTACTAGTTGACCGAGTTCACAACTGACCAAAAACAGTAACAAATAAAACTACAGCATGAAAGAAAGAGAGAACAGTTAGCCACATTTTAACATAAATAGTAAATGTTTTTTAAATACATAGGCTAACTGAAAGACAATCACCTCAAGGGAGGACCGGTTCAATTATCTAAACAATTTCCATAGCTGGGGTTCAATATACTGCTTGGACACCTATTTGTATTTATTATGAATCCCCATTAGTTGCTGCCTTGGCATTACTGCAGTGGCATAACTTTTAAAGCAATACATAGTCTGTCAAATTTGAATAAATAAACACTGATAAAGAAAGTAAACACATACCTCAGTACAACTGACCACACCGCAAAACATTTCTTAAAAACCGCAAGGTTCTCAAAATAGTTATCCAACAGACACAGACACAGCAACGCAACGACACCACACAGACTCCACAAACTTTGGGTACAAATGTTCTCATCCCCACACTGCTCTAAGGGGCACTTTTATACTTTTTGACCTGACCTCTCCCCTTACAAAAAAAAGATTGCTGTCAGAGTGCAGTATAACTGCTGTGCACTGCAGTATAACTGCAGTTAGAGTGCAGTATAACTTCAGTATGTGGCAAATACTCTCTCTCTCTCTCTCTCTCTATCTCTCTCTCTCTCTCTCTCTCTCTCTCTCTCTCTCTCTCTCTCTCTCTCTCTCTCTCTCTCTCTCTCTCTCTCTCTCTCTCTCTCTCTCTCTCTCTCTCTCTCTCTCTCTCTCTCTCTCTCTCTCACACACACACACAGTATCGTAATACAATCTCTGAAAACGGCAAGTTTGTGAAATGTAACATTGTAACCAGGCCTCTCACTTCACTGCCTAAGGGCTACGCCCTCTCTATCCATCACTTCCGGGTCTAGTCGGACAGGGTTGTGAAAAACAACAACTGATTGTCACGATATTTAGCTAGCCAATCTACAAATGACAGATAAATATAACATTATACAGAGTACACTATCCATGTCAGGTCCAAAGAAGGATTTTCGCAGTATTGTGCAGCTTTTTTTGATAGACAGGAATATTTTATCTTGTCTGCAACCCCATCGTGAATTGGTAAGTTAGCGAACGTTAGCTAGGTTAACTAAATAGCTAACTAGCTACTATAGCTGATTGATGTTTTGACACGTAGCTTAGCCAACTAGCACTTGCTGCACCACATAGCAAGCTATTTACCGATAGCTAGCTAACGTTATTGCAATGGTTTAGCTAGCTAAACATGTCCTCCTTTTCCAAGCTATATTTCCGTCAGCTACGTTAACGTTAGCTAACGTTAGTGTATCAAGCTAGCGAGTTAGCCAACGTTAACTTTGACTATCCGTATTATTGAACAACAATGTTTACTGAGTGATTCACCATAATATGCAGTATGATGTCGAAGCTTTACCTATCAGCTTGCTTTTCCTACTAGTTGTAGGCAGAGGTGGCTGTAACTAGCTAGGTTGCTAGCTAACGTGAATACATAGTCAGCTACGTTGTAGCTAGCTAACGTTAGCTTGTGAATTCTGATATTATCTTGCATCGTTGACTAGCTGGTAGCTAACGTTACGTCTTCCTATGCCTGCAAAGCTAGCATACTACGCCTGTGCTAAGAGGTCAGGACCTTTGTTATGGCATGTATCCACAGGGTCACCTGTTCAAACCCCACTGTGACTGACCCACCTCACATAATAGTATGGTAGTAGGCTAGCTAGACGAGTAGGTCTGTATGTACTTTGTTCATAACTAGTGCTCTTTTTGCCCACTGATCAAGTCTGCTGAGTGACTTGACCAGGTGGTATTGGCATCTTTGCGTGCCGTCTCATTCCAAGTCCCAGGGGAACCTTAATACAGGTAGATTATTTTCTCTGCACCATCACAGATGCTCCGTCCATCAGTGTGTCATGTGTACTGTTAGATAAGCTGTTAAGTACACTTACTTTCCCTCTCTCACCTCCCCCTCCTTCTTCCTGTCTTCAGTAGAGGATGAACGGCCTGTCCATTAGAGAGCTCTGCTGCCTGTTCTGCTGCCCTCCTTGCCCCAGCCGCATCGCAGCCAAGCTGGCCTTCCTCCCTCCAGAGCCCACCTACTCCATGCTTCCTGACCCAGAGGCTACAGCTGTGGCAGCAGCCGGGACCACGCCTGGGGGTGCTCCCCCCTCTCTGGGGGCACCGGGCCTGCGCTCCCGGCTGGGTGGTGGTGCGGGAGACAGAGGTGGTGGTGGAGGGGGAGGAGGTGGAGGTGGAGGTGGAGAGGGCAGGTGGAAGCTCCATCTGACAGAGAGGGCAGAGTTCCAGTACACCCAGAGAGAGCTGGACATGACAGACGTGTTCCTGACCAGGTCCAGCCGGGGGAACAGGGTGGGCTGCATGTACATCCGATGTGCTCCCAACGCCAGGTGAGAGAAGAACTAGATTAGTATAGAGATGATGGATCCGGACATTTCTCTTGCTCTTTTGCACAACAAGGGAGTTTGTGCAGGTTTTTCTATTTATTGAGATGCATAAATTATAGTGTTCTATTTTAGTGTTCTATTTTATTCTATGGTTCTAAACATCACCCTTTCCTCCCAACCTATTCTCTTCTTTCTTTTCTGGTAACTGTTCTACCTCTCCCAGGTTCACAGTGCTATTCTCCCATGGTAATGCAGTAGACCTGGGTCAGATGAGTAGCTTCTACATTGGCCTGGGAACGCGTATCAACTGCAACATCTTCTCCTACGACTACTCTGGCTACGGTGTCAGCACTGGCAAACCCTCAGAGAAGAACCTCTACGCTGACATAGACGCTGCCTGGCACGCCCTGCGCTCACGGTAAACAGCTGTTACACACACACACACTTTTGTATTGCTATCCTTGTGGGGACCAAAGAATTGATTCCCATCCAAAATCCTATTTTCCCCAACCCTAAATCTAACCTTAACCCTTAACCTAAACATAACCCTAAAACTATACCTAACACTAACTCCTAACCCTAATTGTAACCCTAACCCTAAACCTAACCCCTAACCCTAAAATAGCATTTCCCTTGTGGGACCGGCAAAATGTCCCCACTTGTCCGAATTTTCCTTGTTTTACTATCCTTGTGAGGACTTATGGTACCCACGCGGATAGGATAGGGTAGTGCTGGGCTGAAAACTGTACACACCGTTGCCCTTCAGGAGTGAACAACAAGCACGCCTATTCAGGAGTGAATAACAAGTAGGCCTATTCAGGAATGAATAACAAGTAGGCCTATTCAGGAGTGAACAACAAGTAGGCCTATTCAGGAGTGAATAACAAGTAGGCCTATTCAGAAGTGAACAACAAGTAGGCCTATTCAGGAGTGAATAACAAGTAGGCCTATTCAGGAGTGAATAACAAGTAGGCCTATTCAGGAGTGAATAACAAGTAGGCCTATTCAGGAGTGAATAACAAGCAGGCCTATTCAGGAGTGAATGACAAGCAGGCCTATTCAGGAGTGAATAACAAGTAGGCCTATTCAGGAGTGAATAACAAGTAGGCCTATTCAGGAGTGAATAACAAGTAGGCCTATTCAGGAGTGAATAACAAGCAGGCCTGTTCAGGAGTGAACAACAAGTAGGCCTGTTCAGGAGTGAACAACAAGCAGGCCTGTTCAGGAGTGAATAACAAGCAGGCCTATTCAGGAGTGAACAACAAGCACGCCTATTCAGGAGTGAATAACAAGTAGGCCTATTCTGGTCCTCTCTGGGTGTGTATTTGTTTACTCAGTTATCTGTGTGTGTGTGTCCCAGGTATGGCATCAGCCCAGAGAACATCATCCTGTACGGACAGAGTATTGGCACGGTACCGACGGTGGACCTGGCATCCAGGTTTGAGTGTGCTGCTGTGGTGCTCCACTCCCCTCTCACCTCTGGCATGAGGGTTGCTTTCCCCGACACCAAGAAGACCTACTGCTTCGACGCCTTCCCCAAGTGAGTCACACACACAAAGCACATTAGAATGCTAAATTTAGATCCACAACAACAGAAATTGTCACAAAGGCCTACATCCTTTGGCTATAAAGAAATATTGTGACTCCTCAGCTAAAAGCACGTTAGAAAACAATCGTAAACATATGACATGACATCAACGACAGGTTATGAAGCATAACTCAAAGCTGCTTATAGACTCCTTAAAAACGGACTATACATGACTTTAAAACTTGAGTATAGACTGCTTGCAAACTGCTTGTAACCTGTGTATTGCAGCATAGAGAAGGTGTCTAAGATCCCGTCCCCGGTGCTGATCATCCACGGGACAGAGGACGAGGTGATAGACTTCTCCCACGGCCTGGCTCTGTTTGAGCGCTGTCCCAAGGCCGTGGAGCCCCTGTGGGTGGAGGGGGCGGGGCACAACGACATAGAGCTGTACACCCAGTACCTGGAGAGACTACGACGCTTCATCAACCAAGACCTGGCCGCAGCACACACCTGAGAGAGGAGGAGGTGAGGGGGTGTGTGTGTGTGTGTGTAAGGAGCTGTACAACAACATCAAACTACAGCCTTAAGTCAGTAGAAAAGGAGCATCCACTATGCTGTGTGTGTGTGGCTGTGTGTGTGGTTGAGGTTGTGTGCGTTGACTCATGGAAATGTGAGATGTTGATATGGACACCTGTCAGACACCTGGAAACGTGTTCCTAGAGACTTCCTGAGGCAGAGTGTTTGTACAATACGAATGGTCTTTTCTGTGTACAAAAATGTATGTACTACTCACAGAGTTGAAGATGCTCTCTGTATGGACCTGAGCTGATATCACTCCTCCCTGTGTCTGCAGTGGACAGCTGTCTGTCTGCTTTTATCTCTGTCTTTCTCCCCGTCTCTCTAATAATCAACATCTCTCTTTGGATTTTGTTCAACTATGTAGTCCTGTCCTAACTAAGGACTAGGGGAAGAATAGAACTGGCCTTTGAGAGTCATTGACACATGACTATAAGAAAGTCTGCTCTCCTGTGAGTGTGTGTCTTTGGCTGTAGAAGGCAGCCATTTGAACTTCTTCTGAGCTGAAGGTTGTGATAACTGAGTGAGGGTGGGGAATGAACGATGTACTGCAGTATTACTCTGACTAGTTGTTTGACTGTTGCCCGTTCATATTATCTAATGTGTCTGAAGCCTGAGATGAACATGGATAGTCTGATCCCAGATCTGTTTGTGGTCTGTTTGTGATCTGTTTGTGGTCACAAACAGATCTGGAATCAGGCCCATAAAAAATTAGCTAGTTTGTTTTCTTCTGTAAGGAGACCTCTGTGTCTCTTGATAGATTCCTAATGTGAAGGAAGTATTGTGGGAAAAAGGTTTGAGAGGCCTTTGGAAAATAATGTATTTTCATTTATATACAGTCTTCTCTGTAGCTCTTGAGAAGACGGTTCAGTTTACTGTTCTGAGGATAGAGAGAGTACGACTGATGGTGGATGGTGTCCATGAGGTCATCTCAACTGGCATTTTCTGTTACATTTGATCGCACAAATACACTATATATACAAAAGTATGTGGACACCCCTTGAAATTAGTGGATGCAGCTATTTCAGCCACACCCGTTGCTGACAGGTGTATAAAATCGAGCACACAGCCATGCAATCTCCATAGGAAAACATTGGCAGTAGAATGGCCTTATTGAAGAAGTCAGTGACTTTCAACGTGGCACCGTCATTGAATGCCACCTTTCCAACAAGTCAGTTCGTAGAATTTCTGCCCTGCTAGAGCTGCCCCGGTCAACTGTAAGTGCTGTTATTGTGAAGTGGCAACTTCTAGGAGGAACAACGGCTCAGCCGCGAAGTGGTAGGCCACACAAGCTCACAGAATGGGGCCGCCGAGTGCTGAAGCGCGTAGCACGTAAAAATCGTCTGTCCTCGTTTGCAACACTCACTACCAAGTTCCAAACTGCCTCTGGAAGCAATGTCTGCACAATAACTGTTCGTGGGAAGCTTCATGAAATGGGTTTCCGTGGCCGAGCAGCCACACACAAGCCTAAGATCAACATTGGAAATGCCAAGCGTCGTCTGGAGTGGTGTACAGCTCGCTGCCATTGGACTCTGGAGCAGTGGAAACACATTCTCTGGCCTGCACAGAGCCCTGACCTCAACCCCATCGAACACCTTTGGGATGAATTGGAGCACCGACTGCGTGCCAGGCCTAATCGCCCAACATCAGTGCCCAACCTCACTAATGCTCTTGTAACTGAATGGAAGCAAGTCCCCGCAGCAATGTTCCAACATCTAGTGGAAAGCCTTCCCAGAAGAGTGGAGGCTGTTATAGCAACAAAGTGGGGACCAACTCCATATTAATGCCCATGATTTTGGAATGAGATGTTTGACAAGCAGGTGTCCACATACTTTTGGTCATGTAGTGTAGGAAATGGTTGTTCAGTTTGCTGCTATTCATCTGTATCACTCACATAGGAAGACTATTCCTGATGACTATTCCTAATTAATATACCACATGACTATTCATCATGACTATTTCTCATGACTATTCCTGATGGGAAAGAAATGGCATTATAGCGTCTTATAAATATAACACTTTAACTGACTTTCTGAGATCTGAAAAGAATACACAGTCCTTAATTCACACTTATCCTCAATCTTTACTCATGCATTTATCTCTCAAAGTAATAAAAACATGTATAGTGTATAGCAGAGCCACAGAGTTCGTCAAACTCCGTTAGAAATGTTTAATTTTAATTTTGTTCCATGTTGGTTCTAAGTCAATAACATGGAGCCAACATGGATGCCAGTTTCTTGAACATATGATACAATGTCTATGGTGTATAGGAGCTCTTCTATGGTGGCAGTATTGATCCAAGCCATAAATGAGCCTCTCACTGTTAGTGTGGTGCAGGTTCCACCACATCAGTACACACACACACACACACACACACACACACACACACACACACACAAGCATGATAAGCAGGTCTTAAGTTCAGCACTATTGTACAAAGCATCCAAAGTGTAGTTGAAAATATAATATTTACGTTTGTGTCTCCTTTGCATTATTGACTAACTGCCCCTGCCCCCAGAAAGGCCAGAAGCAAGGACTCAAGGAACGACTTAGTCATAGAATACTGAAGTTACTGTCTCTATTGAGGGGACACTGTATGCTGATGATAAAAACAATACATTACACTGCATGGGTGAAAGTGACACTTTGTAGGTGGCTGTTTTTCTATTATCATTTTGAACAGGTATCTTCCATTTTCACCGTATGCTGTGTGTCACCAGACCTAAGGTGGTGGATGTCCCTCAGGCTCCCGTGCCAAGGTTCTAAACTCTCCAGGGTTCTAGGCTCTCCAGGGTTCTAGGCTCTCCAGGGTTCTAGGCTCTCCTAAGACAGAATGAGACTAGAACTCACTGTCAGTTGTCATTACTGTACCCTAATGGGTTCTTGCGACGAAGGTCTCTGAATATAATTAGGAATAATTAACACGGTGGTTCATTGAGACTGAATAGAGAATAGTCTCACTTGACCCTATGATGACCCTGTGATAATGAAGTGAGGTATCGATACTTTGACAACTTTATGCATGTACATTATTTGTGTTTTGCTGGGCAAGTGTTGGGGTGGGGAATATAACTTAGTGTGTGTGATGCCAGAGGGAAAATTTAAACTCAAGGTATCGTAAAATATAGAGCTTTTTAAACGGGGGGTATCGATTTAGTTTTGTTTTTATTACTGAAACTAAACTAATGTATTGTTTAGACTTTTGCGCTAGAGAGTTTGGACGGGGTTAGAACATGAGGGTGCGGTTTATATATGGTTATTGTAGTTACCTATTCTGTTTGTATTATGATTTGTATTATGAAAAAAAATTACTGACAATATGATGTAATGTCATTAATTCAGGGGACTGAATCTTGACCTTTTTATTGACAATGGAAAAAAAACAATAAACTATTATGTACAAAAATATGAACTTGCATTGTTGATTCTAGGTTGTAAAAACAAATTACTGAATTTATTGTGAATCCATTTAGTAATTACAGTGCATTGTGCATGAACTATCAAACATTTTTATGTACAGACATTCAAGAACTGTATTGAGAATATTTGTTTTTTTTGAATGGCTTAGAAGTAGCTTTTTTAAAATACACAATTGTATACATTGAAAGTATACTACACTGATTGATACAGTGCTAATCATGATGTACAATATTTCTGTTTCATTGCTCTCTTGGTTTTGAGGAGTGTGCCCCCTGCTGGCCTGTTAGTGCCACTGACAGTAGAAAGACGCCAGGGAGTCATTCTATTAAGTACTAAAAGTTATCTGAAATGAATTTACACTATGATATAATTTAATAATTTAATTTGCCAGCAAATTTGAGATTAAAGTAACTGCTGACTTGCATTATTCCTTTACAAAGAGAACAAAATATACATTACCAGTTGAGCTGAGACCAACAAATAGTGCAGTAAGACAATTGATTTTAGGAGTGGACTGACTGAAAAAACATCCTATGGAATATAGGCTACAACCCTACCCCCCCCCCCCCCCCAAAAAAAAACCCGTTGCTTTGTGTGAAGTCAAGGTTTTCCACATTTCTGACAGGTGCTGAGTGTGTCTGAGGTTTTAGTGATCTGTCTCCTCAACAGATAAGGGGATCCACATAAATATATAATAACAATTGCCCAGCTCATGAGACATTTTCATTGAGACCCTTTATATACAGTAGTTTGTTGTACTGTGGCTTTGGTATTTAGTCCAGTGTAGGCAGGGGCGGACTGGGACAAGAATTCGGCCCTGGCATTTTATCCACATCAGCCCACATCACTGCGCACGCCACCAGCTCATGTCCAAGCATGAATGCATGATTCAAGATATTTTGATGTGCAACCTAATCCAGTGATTGTCATGAATTTTGGGTTGACAATTAGACTATAGTTGCTATTTTACTGTCAAAATAGGACTCCAGAATTTCCAGATTTGTATTTTTTTTGTTCAATAGAGATTAATTACATGTTTTATGTGCACTAACTCAAATCATAGGCTAATTAATTTGTGGTTCAACACCTGAGGAAGTGGAAACTCAAAACGCATTAACTAGATCGCTAACTGGCCTCCTGTAGCTCAGTTGGTAGAGCATGGCGCTTGCAATGCCAGGGTTGTGGGTTCGATTCCCACGGGGGGCCAGTATGAATTTTTTTTGCATTCACTAACTGTAAGTCGCTCTGGATAAGAGTGTCTGCTAAATGACTCAAATGTAAATGTAACTCTAAATATATTACCCACCACAGGAGGCTGGTGAGGGGAGGATGGCTCATAAAGATTGCTGGAATGGAGTGAATGGAATGGTATCAAGCACTATAACTATATGTTTTTTATGTGTTTGATACCATTCCATTAACTCCGTTCCAGCCATTACTATGAGCCGTCTTCCACAATTAAGGTGCCACTAGTCGCATGTGATACCCACTGCTAGTAGCCATGTATTCATCCAACCGTAAATGTAATGTCCTAAAAAATCTTTGCATTTGTAGTCTAC